ATGTGTATGGTTCTTATCCGCTTTAAGGTCTAAACATCCTGAAACCCACCCTGTATTGGCTTTACCTTCTAAAATCTTCGATGTCCGTTCATTATACCATTCAACCCTTTCTTTAATTTCATTGTCTTTTTCATCCACATATTCCTTATCTGCCTTCTTCACTAACCCACTAGCCAGATATGCTAACTCATCGTCAACATACTCTTTGTCAGCTTTCTTTTCAACATCCTCTTTTGTTGCATATGTTGCATCTGCTCTGTCATGTTCTTCTTGAACTTTTTCAATGACATACTCTTTGTCAGCTTTGTTGTCAATATCTGCTTTCAAAAGAAGTTCATCTATAGGTTTCTCGTTTAAAGTTCTTTTTGTTGGATTTATACAAACAGTATGGTTCTTACTGTCTTGAAACAGAAACTCGTCTGTCAATGGGTTTATCGTCAGTTTTAAGTTTCCTTCTTTCAATGACTCAGATATCTTAGAATAGTTTGAAAAGTTTGTTGTGTTCTTATTTAGAGCTTGCATAATGAGTTGTCGGTTGTGTTGTATTTCTCTCATGGAAGCAATATCTTTCGACATTTTTATTCTAGATAAAATATGCTTCCAATAGAAAAAGAAAATTCAAGAGTTGCTACAACTAAACCATTAGATGAACTTTTTACTAATGTCGGTCAAAAGTTTGAGACAGAGACCGTAAAGCATGAAGGCTATCGTTTTGACTACCCATTAAGATGGTTAAGAGACCCATCCGTCACAAAAGCTGTTGGCTTTCGTAGAATGAAGTTTGTGTCTGTAGAAGATAAAAGTTTTCCATTTATTGTAAGGTTTCATATAGATTATATATCTGAAGGGAAACGAAAAATGTGGGAAGAAATTGAGCTAATACAAGTTGACCTTTCATCTTCTCTACAGACTGCGTTAAAAAATATAGAAGATAAAATAAATTCATGTTATGCAAAATATGCTGATGAATATGCAAATACCGAGAGCACACTTTATGTGAGAATTGTATATGACAAACAAAATTCACAAGTGTCATTTCAAATCTACGAAGACAATCCAAAGAAAGACGAACAAATATATACAGAATTCACTGCAATGTCATGGTATTATTTGCAAAGAATGTTAAATCAGAAAGTCGAACTTCCTTTAGCAAATATTTACAGTCGATATGCAAGAGATGAACCATATTTATTTAAAGATGTTTTCGACCCAGCTGCTATTATTGTTCATGCTTCATTTTCTGGCGCCCAAAACTCTTTCTTATGCTTGGCAAATGACTTTTACGAAAAACCTACAAAGTTATACGAACCACCAAGTGGAAGTATTTCAGACTTTCAAGTATGGTTTACTACAGATGGAAGAAAAAGAATAATTCCATTATACCATGCGTTTTACTTAGAACTTAGTTTCATATACAACTACTATCGAACGGTAAAAATATAATTTTTTAATACGGTTGAGGTGTTGGATTTGGTTGCCAACTAGACTGTGGTGCAGGTTCAGGCTGTTGTATAACAGGAGCTTGTTCTTCTGGTTCAGGGTCTTTAGGTATAATACCAACAAACTGACCTACTCTTTTACCAATATTTTTGACTCCGTTCCAAATTCCTCTTCCTACGGTTTTTATTCCATTCCATATACCTCTTCCAACATTTCGAAAGAAGTTTCCTATCTTACTGAAGAAACCCATTTTACTATATGTAAAAATCTAATGTCCGCCTAGTCTCTTACGTTTCCTGTTGAGTTCCATAGCATTCTTTAACTGGAGCTCATACATTCTGTTTCTCCTCTGGTAGAAAACATATTCTGGGTCAACTCCTGTGTTCGCGTCATCTGCATAAAGTTGTTTATATCCCACTTCAGGGTTTGTATAAAACTCTTTCCATCTCATATTTGCATACCATGGTGGCAAACCTAACGCAGCGTCATTTGACATGGCAGTTTGCATTTGTACATCTGTTGGCACTTGACCATAGTTTGCCATTGCAGTTTGTATTCTAACTTCATTTGGAATATTCTCTGGGTTTGGTTGTCCAGGTTGCTGTGCATTCGCTAAGTTCTGTGCGTCCATTTAATATTAGATAAAAATATCTCTTACGAGTACATATACTGAACATTTGCAGGCATTGGTTCATCTTCATATTCTCTGTACTTTTCTGCCACGTCAAAGAAATAAATGACACAATGGAAAAAACCTAAAACAAGTAGTCCTATTTCAAACCACATTTACTTACTAGTAAAATTTCTTTGTTATGACACTTTCTCCGATTTATAGGACCTCTCTCATATTCTATCTTGTCATATATAAACTCATAGTCATGTATGTCCTCTAACCATCTCATAACGGTTTCCAAACCACTTTTATCGGATGTAAAGTAAAAGCATGGATGGTTATGTAAAACGTCTAAAGTTTCTAAAGAGTCTCTCAAAGTCCAGTCTACTTGGTATTGAAAATCGTATGTGTTAAAGAACGGCGGGTCTACTATAAAGAAAACATTTTCCTTGTCTTTATATTTTTCATACAACTCTGTCCAATGACATCTCACAAACTCTATACCCTCAATATATTTTTCTATGTCCTCTTTGAAAACATTTGTATAGTTAAGATATAAAACTTTTGACATAAGTGTTTCAATGTCATGAACTCTTATAGAACCACTATATAATAGTCTAGCAGATATACTATCCCAGTCTATATATTCTGCTTTTTTCAAAACCTCTCTCACAATATTTTTCTTATCTAATGGTATACGTTCCATCTTACCTATAGGTATCTTTTCTTTTAACGCTTTCAATATATTGTTTGTGTCTGGTATATGTTTGAGACGGTCCATATAGTTGTCGAAGTCATTGCATATAATCTTTGAGTCTGGGAATATTGTATGACACAAATGGATATATAGAAACTTCCACCGAACAAATCTACAAATGTTAGACCATTCGGTAGTTTCTTAAGTTCTCTCAATAGAATATCTTTACATCTACTCTTATTTCCAAAGAACGGTAACGGTGGTTTTGTAAAATTCATTTATATATAATAATAAAAATGTTTTTTCCCTGAAAAGTGACAGAGAAGTGACAAAACATTTACGAAGAAGTCTTGACAAAACATTTACGAAGAAATCATGAGTTTTCTACCCTCTTGAATTTTCATGAAATTTACACCAAAAATATATTTTATGTTAGAATGTTAGATCTAACATGTTTTCTAACATGTTTTCTAACATCGTAGAAAACTCTTGAAAATCATGAAATTTACACCAAAAAATAATGTTTATGTTAGAATGTTAGATCTAACCTTCTACCCTAAATTATATTTTTGGGTCCTTTACGCTCATTACGAAGAAGTCTTGACAAAACATATACGAAGAAGAAGTTTCGACAAAACATTTACGAAAAATCATGAGTTTTTCTACGATGTTAGAAAACATGTTAGAAAACGTGTTAGATCTAACATTCTAACATAAACATTATTTTTGGGTCCTTTACGCTCATTACGAAGAAGTCTTGACAAAACATTTACGTTCATGTTTGACAAAACATTTACGAAGAAGTCTTGACAAAACATTTACGATGAAATTCATGACAAAACATTTACGATGAAGAAGTTTCGACAAAACATTTACGAAGAAATCATGAGTTTTCTACGATGTTAGAAAACATGTTAGAAAACGTGTTAGATCTAACATTCTAACATAAACATTATTTTTGGGTCATTTACGCTCATTACGAAGAAGTCTTGACAAAACATTTACGATGAAATCATGACAAAACATTTACGATGAAATCATGACAAAACATTTACGATGAAATCATGACAAAAAAGTCAACGGCTGGTCGGCTGGGGTTCGGTCCTCCTCTTGGGTCTTGGGAAAAATTCTTAGGGCTGGAAGCCCTCCGAATAAAAACTTCATTTATACTAAACATCTTCAGGGCTAGAAGGCACGAAGTGCCTGGAAGCCCCACTACCTTTTTTTTTTTTTTTTTTTTTTTTTTTTCCTAATTGAAAAAAAAAAAAAAAAAAAAAAAAAAAGGTAGTGGGGCTTCCAGGCACTTCGTGCCTTCTAGCCCCGTTGATGTTTAGTATAAAATGAAAGTCTTTACGAAGAAGAACTTTACAAAACATAGACAAGAAAGTTCATGAGGAAGTCTCAACAAAGTCTTTACGATGAAGAACTTTACAAAACATAGACAAGAAAGTTCATGAGGAAGTCTCAACAAAGTCTTTACGATGAAGAACTTTACAAAACATAGACAAGAAAGTTCATGAGGAAGTCTCAACAAAGTCTTTACGATGAAGAACATTACAAAACTTCATCGTCAATGAGTGTAAATCAGGCAAAAATATATTTTAGGGTAGAAGGGTATATCTAACCTCTTTTCTAACCTCTTTTCTACCCTCTTGAATTTTCATGAAATTTACACCAAAAATATATTTTAGGGTAGAAGGGTATATCTAACCTCTTTTCTAACCTCTTTTCTACCCTCTTGAATTTTCATGAAATTTACACCAAAAATATACTACTAGGGTCATTTACGAAGAAATCTCAACAAAGTCTTTACGATGAAGTCTTGACAAAGTCTTTACGAAGAAGTCTCAACAAAGTCTTTACGAAGAAGTCTTAACAAAGTCTTTACGAAGAAATTCATGAAAATTCAAGAGGGTAGAAAAGAGGTTAGAAAAGAGGTTAGATATACCCTTCTACCCTAAAATATATTTTTGGGTCATTTACACTCATTTACGAAGAAATCTCAACAAAGTCTTTACGAAGAAGTCTCAACAAAGTCTTTACGAAGAAGTCTCAACAAAGTCTTTACGAAGAAATTCATGAAAATTCAAGAGGGTAGAAAAGAGGTTAGAAAAGAGGTTAGATATACCCTTCTACCCTAAAATATATTTTTGGGTCATTTACACTCATTTACGAAGAAATCTCAACAAAGTCTTTACGAAGAAGTCACAATAAAACATCTGTCAAAAACCGTTTTTTACTTCACTTAAAATGCCACGTAAGCTACGTAAGAATATACGTAAGAGGAAGAGAGCATTGAAACATCCAATAGTAAAACTGACACCACAACAACAGTTGCAACAACAAATTATGAATGACCCCACTATGTTGCAACAAATGTCAAGCAATCCTATGCTTTTAAACCGAGTTGTTGGTGCACAGAGTGGAGGTTTAAGAGCGGCACTTTTAGCGAAAATGGCAGGCTATGGTGGAGCTGCAGACGGAACAGCCTATAACCCTCAAAGTCAAATGAATTTGAGTTCACTCAAAAATCAAATAACAGATGTCAAAAAGTCAAACATAGACATACAGAAGCAAATAAGTGAAAACGAAAAGAAACTAGAATATGACAGACACACAAAGAAACTCAATGAGTTAAACGTAGAGAAAAAGAAGAAAGAAGAACAACTGAAAGAACTAAGTACAGAGGAATATGCGAAAAAAGTGTCAGAAAAAGCAGCAGAAGTAGCAAAAATGGAACAAGATGTCATAAATTTGAAAAACCATACTACTCAATATAAAATACTGAAAGATGAAGAGATAAAACAAAAAGCCCTGAAGACATATATGGATAGCGATGAGTATAAAAAAGAAGTTGAAGCAAATGTAAAGGCAGAAAAACTTTTACAGTTGCAAAACCAAACCGTACAGTATGAAAACTTAGCACAAGAAAGTAAAAATAACGACGCGGCTATGCAAAAGGCAATGAAAAGCTCAGAATATATAAAAGCTAAATGACTGGTTAGATGCCCAAGCCAACGCTAAAGCAGCCCAACTCATAGGGTCAATAAGGACAAAAATACAAGCGGATGAAGACAGTTCAAATGAAGCTTTAACAAATGCTGACTTTAAGAACGCCTTCGAAGCTCTTCATAGTAAGGTGAAACAAGTGAACGACTTCTCATCTGGAAAGAAACTGAAGTCTGAAGTTTCGACAAAGAGTTAAGAGAAGTAGCACAAAATATGACGAAAATAACAGATGCAGCAACGAGACAGGCAGTTCAAAGTGCCTATGACGCCGTTAGAGCAACTGTTGTGAAAAGTCAAGAAAAAGAGTTACAACAGACCAAAACAGACCTAGTAAATGCTTTCTAAGAACGAAAAGTCAGGTAGGACATTACGCTGCAGATGGAACATATGTGCCAGCTGGTGGAACTTATATACCACCAAACCCTCCAAGAGAAGCACCTGCACCAGGACTACCTAACACATTTACATCGTCACATGGACACAGACACAGGCATGCACCAAAACCAACACAACAACCAACAGTTCAAAACCCTGCACAACAACCAACAGTTCAAAACCCTGCACAACAACCACCTCCACAACCAGAGCAAGGACATAAAATAAGTAGAGAACAAGTAAACCAAGAATTCTTAAAATGCTTAAAGAAGAGTGTGGTTTCCCAGATACTGTTGACTTTAGTGACAGATATAAAGAAGCTATTGGAAAGTTCAAGGATGGAAATACTGACCCGAACCTATTTAGCTTTATGGCTCAGCACCAAAACGGATATAATTCAAACCTGGAAAATACAAGCTCGCTAAGGGATATGATTTAATAGCATATCATCCAAATGACATGGATGAATTTACTCCGAGATATTTGATGTCAGAGCTAAATGACAATTCAACTTTCGTCATGAAACGCGTAAAAAATAGAGACGGAACGAAAGAACAAAGGCTTATGAATGCGGATGACGTAGATAGGGAAATTGTTGAAAACGGTCTCGGAATATATGAAATGCCAGCAGATGAGGTACAAGAAACTCCACAGGAAGAAGTTCAGATACAACCAGACATGGAAGAAATAGTTCAGCAACAACAGCTAGAAGAGCCTGAAGGAAACGAACAGTCACTCCTTTGGAAACTAACTTCACAGAACTAGATGAAGATTTGAACAGCCGAAAAATCTTGACCCTCAACAAGAGTATGCGGAGAATATGGAATCTTTCCAAGAGTCTAAAAAAAATTCGGCTGACATAGTAGAAGAATATCGAAAAATGTTTGCCGACATACAAAAGACTCCAACATCAGATGAAAATATTCAGCATAGAATGGAAGAACTGAAAAAAAATGTACACAAATACAACAACCTTTTTACTTACGAGCATTTAACGTTCAATCTTCGGATGAACTCGGTGAAGATAAAAGGTTAAATTTCAAAGAAAACATATAGAAATGAAACATTGTTTAAAGTTCATTCAGAACCTAACCAAGATGGAAACAAACCTACTTTTGTTTCTGCAGACGATGGAACTACAATGAGATGGGGTCATAAAGCTAATTCGGATAGGTGGTTCATAAACTTACAACCACAATTCCAAGAAGTTGTAGACGCAATGGAAGTCAATGGTGAACGAGATATAGCTGGTATTTTAAGCGCGCTTTAATGCCATTGAAAGATATGAAACATGCAGATATTTTGGACCAGTATGAAATGAACATGGCTGATGGAAATATAACACCTGACGTTCTAGAACATTTATCTCAAAGAACTACACAGAACCATAGAGATGGTATATTTGGTGAAGAGTTTAGAAAGAAAGTTAGGGAGAGCGAAGGAAGAGAACCTATTGTACATGACCTTGCAAATGAAAGTTTACAAAATGTCATAAAAACTTACTTTGCAGACAATGAACTGAGAAGGGATGAATATTTAAGAAAACTCAAATGGACAGTACCAAATGAAATGTTAGTATTGAAAAACATGTTCCTTGACAAAATAAAACCAACTACAGAAATAAACGACGCAAGACTGAAAGATTGGGTAAAAGCTTTCCCATTCACAAAAGATATTGTTGGTAACATGGAAAGAAAACCAGAATGGCTACAAAAACATATATTTGGAAACGAGCATATTCCATATGGACAGGCACTGTTTGAAGAGCTTGAACCAGAAACTCAGGAAAGAGTCATGCAAACAATACGCGAAGACTCAAATACAGACTATGACAACTCTTTCTAGGATATAGGTTACCTGAGATGGGCGACCAGAGCCCAAAGGCAAAAAGGACATGGGAAATTTACAACATACTAGGTGAACATGAGGCAAAGATGCAACAACTTGAAGCAGAGGGCAAGTTACCAAAGCGACACCAAAGAAGAAGAGTAGAACAAAGTGAAAGTAGTGAAGAAGTAACTTCATCTAGTGAAAGTAGTGGCAATGAAGGAAAAAGAAGAGTTAAAAACTCAGTCAGGAAGAAAGTAAAGCTTGGTCCACGTGGGTTCTATTATGACATATAAATCCAACTATTCTATATTTTTACTCATATGAAATGTACGCCGCTCAGAATATAACGCCAACAGTTTTGGATGCTATGAATGGAAATGTTTCCGAATGGTATAACGAATGCGACAATGCCATTAGAAGGTCAGAAATAGTTCCTGGAACTTACGAATATACAACTGCTGTTTCTTATGGAAATGTAGGTGAGTTTGGAGAAGGTTCTTCAACAACAGTAGATATTGCTTGCGACAGGTTTCATATTATTTCTATTGACAACTCATTCTTATACGTGGAACAAGACATTGAAATAAAACCTTCTGCCAAGTTGTCTGACAAGAAAGGTTGCAATGGTATTTTCTATGTCGGATACCAATATGCTCCAGAAGTTTTATGGGATATAAGATATATTCTAACTCTGACTTAGTTCAAACAGTAACATGGGCAAACTATGAATGGTTCGCTTTGAGAAACTCAGTACAACCACAAGCTAGAGAACAAACAGACCAATATGCAACTATTGAGAAAAGAAGACTTGACCCTAACGTTCCAGGAGTTTATGTTGACCTTTCTGGACAAACTGCAGCAGCAGTAACCAAAGTAAAACTGAAACTTAGAGTTCCTTTGTCATCTTTCCTCATCTTCAGGTTTTTAAGATACTTGCCAAACTGGGCAGGAAAAATTTCTATCGAACTTACTCCAAGCAAAAATAACTTAGTCATTGCACCAACACAAGACCCATTCACTCTTACAGACGTAAAGGGAGCAAATCAAACGTCATTCGCCGAATTTTGCAAAGACAAAGTTGACTTAGACTTTGGTTTCTCAAACCTCAACACTGAAGTAAACTATTATTTCAATGCTGCTGGAACTGCTTGGGACCCAGTTAAGTTCACATGCGAAAATTTGAATGCAAGAGAATAGAAAGCAGACTTGCAGTCTATATGTTGGACCCAGATATTTCAAATGCTTTAGCTGCCAAATATATTGCAGTTCCACTTATGTTCCCTATACACCAAATATCTGTCAAAGACTTTGCAGGTGAAGTTGGAAACCAAAGTGCTGACCCAGGTGCAAGAACAGATATTGCTTTAACAACTGCAATGAAACATGCAGATACTATGTTTGTACTGTTCAGACGAACTATAAATGACTATTCTTGCTTCTACAACCCTGGTATTAAATACCATATAAACATAGATGGCAAATACTATCCAAGAGAAGAATATTCTACAGTTGAGGATATGAGGTCATACAACTTGACATTAGATGCTATGAACTTTAACAACAACTTCACAACAACCATAAACCCTGAAATGCAAAGTTCTATTATGCCATATGTGAAAGTATGGACTCATACAGGAGGTCAAAAAACTCAATATACAAATGGAGACCGTTCAAAACTTTGGCTTGGCATTCCATTTGCTGACTCAGAAGACTTTATGGGTGGTATTTCACTGTTGGTACAGTTCAATACAATATACTGGTGACAGAGACGGTCCAGATAACTGAGAGCAAAGAAGTTTACAAAACCAATAGCACTTTTCACAGAAGATGCTCTTTGAAGATTCGTTCGATGAAACCTGCTGGGGCTCCTCAGATTGGCATAACGACAGCTTCCATCGAGCAGATTTTGGCAGCAGGTCAGTAAGTTGTTCTTGAACTGACTTCTCTCCGTCAAATATTGACAGTACGCCAGTTTTGACATAAAATTGTATTATAAACTTACCTTTAGAAATATCGGTCAGTTTTTGTTATATTTTTGTCTGCTTCAAGAACTTTCACCATTTCAGTTATACCAACTTTCTTTGCTTTATGAAAATATTTTGGTTCAGCAATATTGCTATTCTATAAACATTTTCCATTGTTTGTGTAAAGAACTATTCTGTCAATGTATTTGTATTGTTTGTGTGTGTAAACTTTGTTTTGCTTCAATTCGAAGAGATACTCAAATACGTCCATCTTTTTATTCTAAGTAAAATGTCATTTCCGAAAAATAGAAGCGTAAGTGTTTCAAAAGGTTTAATGGCGATGGCAGATGTGAAGTTAAATTCACCAACTCAAACAAACAGTCAAAGTGTTGTTGTCAATGTCAAAGAAAGAGATGTTGAAGTGGGGAAACCATACGAAGACGAAGATGGTATAGCAATTGTTCCTGTAAAAGAACAACCAACATATCCTGAAGTTAGCAGAGACTTAAGTTCTGTTGCAGATATTCGAAACGACTACCAACAACTGAAAGACAAACTTAAAACTCAGGAGAAGATTTGTCAGGCTTTGGGTATAATGTTAAACTTGGTTGAGCACAACCCTGTAAAAGTGAACTCATATGTCATTGCACCTCATGAAGTTTTGAAAGAACTATTGAAACTTTTGACAGAGGCAGACGATATAAACATCAAAGAAATAGAACCCGACGTTAGTTGCTGTGGTGTTTCATATAATGTCATTGACAAGATATACGTTATGAAAGGAGGTGAAACGTTGAACTTAAAGTATAGTTTCCCAGACGTCATAAAAATATTTGACGACCACAACATTTTCATTAAAATTTACTTGCTAAGTAAATGGCAGAAGACATAGTGGTTTATACTATTACGACTAAAAACCCTGAGTCATATAATTCTATAACAACAAACTTACAAAGTCCTCAAGGACGATATTGTAAACTGACCTTAAACACGATGACGACTAAAGCCTGTTTTGCTCTTTTGACACCAGAAGACTTTGTTGTTGTGAATGGTAAAAATACTTCTTTGAAGATACTTACTCAGATATAACCACAACAGGTTTTGTTGACTTATTTAATACTTTAAGGACGGATGTAACATGTGCTGCAACTAGAGCAGGTTTCATTATGTTTGGATGTCCGACTGAGTTTAGTATAAACGATATGAGCTATAATACAAAACTTATATCTGGTTTTTACTACCAACAGTTTCCTATAACAGGAAAAGGTGTCATACAAGGTCTATCCGTTCCATTGACTTTAAGCACACCTATTTTATATATTGTTTCAAACTTAGGTTCAAAGTGCTATTCGAATGTCGACAGAAACTACTATGACCAAAAAGATACTCATGCGTATAAACAACACTTTCTCTGCGGTTTGCCTATTGTTCATTCGAATGCAGAGTTTTCAGCTTTAGTAAACTCAAACACTTTAGCAAACATAACTTAACCTTAGTTGACGCAAACTTTGTTCCTGTAAAACTTTTATGTCCTATGTATTTGTCAATGACGGCAGAAAGTTTCGAATTGGAAGATGCAACTGGTGAAAGTATTGTATTACAAGAACAACTTCAACAACAAATAGCTCAAGAACAACAAATGCAACAACAAGCTCAAGAATAAAAAAATATTTTTTTTATTTTTATAAAAATGTACAGAATAGACGTTTCAGATTTTTATGACTTCCAAGCGTTCAGAAATATGTGTCCATTTAGAGACTATAACAAAGCAGTCGAGAATTTGAAACGTTTAGTCATTTATGTCGACTCTGCCCAGAATGTTATGTCATGAAAGAATGGGATGTTGTCTTTAACAAACCAAGAGCAACCATAGTTTCAGAACAAGAATGTAGACAGAAACTTAAGAAAATAAAAGTCGTACAGTTGGTATGAAGATGTTAGATGCTTGGGATATCTTATTGTCAAAGTTAGAAGATTTTTTCAGTTCGTGTATAAAGTTCTATACACCATCTCCAAACTTCTATTCTATCTTCACTGGATATAAATACGAACAAGTAGAATGGAAAGAAATGTTATAGAAGCTTGGTTAGACATGTCAAAGAAATTATATGCAATGGAAACGAAAAGAGTCTATGAGTATATCTTATGTTGGTTTGCAAACATCTTACAACATCCAAGTGCTAAAAATGAAACTGCTCTCATTATAATTGGAAAACAAGGACTGGTAAGAACACTTTCTTTACAGATATCTTATGCAAACTGTTAGAGGGCTATTCGAACCCTAATATGACAAACTTAGAAAACATCTGCGGTAAATTTAACTCTTCATAGAGAATATGAAACTTATAGTATGTAACGAACTTCAAAGTATAGATACAACAAAGGTTTTAAACTCAGATGCTTTGAAGAGTCTTATAACAGACAAAGTTGGAGTTGTTGAAAGAAAATATAAAGACCAAAGAGTTTGTGAAAATGTTGCAAATTTCATCATGGTTTCAAACAACGCCGTTCCGATGAAGTTAGAAAGTTCTGACAGAAGATATGTAGTTGTCAGAACGTCAGAAGCTCATATGCAAGATACAGAATATTTTGACGACTTAGCAGAAAACTTTGACACCTAACTTTTACAACCACTTGTTCTCATATTTCATGACATTAGATATTTCTAAGTTCAATCCAAGACAAATTCCGCATACAGAAGAGAGACAAACATTGTTAGAAGCAAACAAGAGTGTATATGAACTGTTCATAGATGAGACTAACTTTGAGTGTTTAGATGAAAGGTCATTGTACGATTCATATAAACAATATTGTCAAGAGTATGGTTATATGGCAGCGTCTAAACGTACATTCTTGGCAAATGTCAAAAATCTTTTAGATGTTCAGAACGGCGTATATACAAAGAAAAATTTTTCTGAGTAAATTTAAAAAAAATATTTTTTTATCCGATAGAAAAGATGACGAAATATATTTCAGTCAACAAGTACATGACAGAAGTCAAAGAAGAACTAGACCCATTCGCTTATTTGAATGTTTACTTCTACCATTTTGAAAAGTCTACATATGACAAAGTTTGGAACATCGAACCCGTTAAGTTTGCTATTGTGACTAAAAATGGTGCGAAATTTGAAGACTTAGACATAGAAGGTTTGTTAGCAGTCAAAGAAAATTTTGACAGAAAGTTCTCAAACCTTAAAGAAGGCAAAGCATACAAACTTGTTATACCTTATGAACCAAAGAAGACAGACGACTATGAATATTATGAGTCTAAGATAGTTGAAGTTCAAGGTAAATTGGGTAAAAAGATTTTAGAGTCTAAGCCAGTGTTTGCTCCTAAAGAGGAAGAGAACATTGACATTGACCCAGAAATGTTCTAAAAATAAAATTTTATTTTTACATGTCATATCTCACCTTCTCTGGAACTGGCTCTGGCTCTTTCTTCTCTTCTTCTACTTTCTTTTCTTTCTTCTCTCTCTTCTTCTTCTTCTCTGGTGGAGTTATGTCAAACTTCTCAGAACCATATTTTTGTAAAAGGTCTTTGTCCTTTAATAGCTCTTCTATTCTGTTTTCTATTTCATCTTCAAGAACAGCGCATGTGTCTTCTTTGCATTCTAAGAACTTTTGTTGGACTTCATCTTTCCAATCGGCGTCATCTCTGTCAACAAGTCTGTCATTGACAAATTTTAAGACTCTCTGCTTAATGTTTTATGGTTCTTGTCATATTCCCAGAAACAGAACTTTAGAACAAATTCCCCTTTCTTGTTTACACTATGTAAGATTTTATGGTCGACAGATGTTTGCTGTCGAAAAGCTTGTCTCGAATATAGATAGCGAAATCGCTAGACATTTTCTAAAAGATAAAATTTTTAATTTTTCTAAAAATATGTTAGAAAAAAAGTTTGCTGACATTGACAAGAAATTTGAGAATGTTTTAAACAAGAACAAGAGGAAGTTAGAAAATGCTCAGATAAAACCCATACATGACAAGTTCCTATTTGCTCAGAATGGTATAACAGGTCTAATCGCACCACCTGGGTCGGGCAAGACTTTCACTTATCTTAAAATGGCTGCACAACAACAAGAACTAGATGAGAAGAACCCATTCTATGAGTTAGTAGTCATTTGTAGTACTTCTGGTCAATTTGACCAAACCGTAAATTCGTTCAAAGATATTATAAAAAAGTCTAAGTTAGTATGTATAAAAGACTCTGAGTTGTTGGATTGGATAAAGAAGTACCAAAGAAGAGTTTTGAAGTACAATGCTATAAATGAGTGTCAATTCGAGGTTTAAAGACCCAAATGAGGAAATGCAGAGAATATTAGAGAAGAAACACTTCAGAAACAAACAGAAAGAGATAGAATACATTTCGAAGAAATTGCAATCTTACGATTGGAAGACATACCCTCATAGATGTCTTCTATCTTAGATGATTTCGCCTCTCATCCTTTGCTTAAGAATAGAGAACAAGATATGTGTCGAATTCTCAAGAAGCTCAGACACTTTAACATCTCAGTTGTCATTTGTGTACAGACAGCAAAGAGTTTAAGTAAGGATGTAAAGAGAATACTTACTGATATCATACTTTTCCCTGGATTGTCCGAAGACGATTTCATGGAACTTATGAAAGAGTCCATGGCAGGTAAGTTTGACAGACATGAACTATGGGAGAAGTACAAAGTCATACAAGACCCTCATACTTCTTTCAGAATTCATATCTACGCAAACAAAGTTCAAATTGTAAAAAGTCAAGCTTGAAAATGTAAGTGTTTGAGTCTTAGTCTGTTGTGGTGCTGGGGCTGTCGGTTCTTCTGGCTTTGGAATGGACTCGGTTGGTGGTACGTCGGACATTGTCTTGAAACAATAAAAGACTTGTCTTGAAAAAGTAAAAGACTTGTCTTGAAAAAGTAAAAGACTTGTCTTGAAAAAGTAAAAGACTTGTCTTGAAACAATAAAAGACTTGTCTTGAAAAAGTAAAAGACTTGTCTTGAAAAAGTAAAAGACTTGTCTTGAAAAAGTAAAAGACTTGTCTTGAAAAAGTAAAAGACTTGTCTTGAAAAAGTACGGGTATCGTCTGAAATCAAGACCACTGTTCTCAAATTTGAGAACTTTACACCAAAAAATTTCTTGAAAAATAACGGGTCTTGTCTTGAAAAAGTAAAAGACTTGTCTTGAAAAAGTAAAAGACTTGTCTTGAAAAAGTAAAAGACTTGTCTTGAAAAAGTAAAAGACTTGTCTTGAAAAAGTAAAAGACTTGTCTTGAAAAAGTAAAAGACTTGTCTTGAAACAATGACCGACATAGACCCAACAGATGAGGCAATCTACCTTATAGAGCTACCTGAGCCATCTTTGGTGTCAAGCTTGAAAAATAAAGAGTGCATTTACTCTACTTGTTTGAAGTTGTCAAAATACTCTGTTATTTTTTCCTTTAACAATGGCAAATCTTCTTTGAAGGTAAGTATTGTACAACCTTTCATATCATAGTGTGTTTGAGGTAACGTATCTTGAACTATTTGTTTCACATCTTCATTCGGTGTCATTGAAATCGGTAAGTTTTCGCGATAGAACCAATTTCTGTCAGATTTGTAAATCTTAGCAAGGTCGTAAAAGCTTTTGTTGTTTCTTCTGACTAAATGCAACATAACCATATCTCTGTCTTCTTCATTTTCCATCTCTTCAGTATAAATCATATACTTATAGTTCTTTTCCTTTCCTTTTGGTACCGAACGTGGTATTCTTTTCTGAATGCTTTTGTCTTTTGCTTCAAGCTTGTTCTCTAGCTCTTCACGTTCTTGTCTATGAATTTCGTCAAGAAGTTTACAAACATACCAAGCATAACGAGGTGAAGCCCACATTGCAACAGCATTTACTAAAAGTCTATGTACATAATATCCTCTCAAACCGTTTGGCAATTTTTCACGATTTTCATGAGTTTTAGGCGAGTAAGATTTTTTACTTACTCGCTGTTCTTCACTTTTTTCAGAAAAAAGTATGTCTCGCTGTGCTTCGCTCAAAAATTCTTGTGTGCTTTGGTTCCTAAACCAGTCTTGTGGTTTCTTAGTGTCTGGAGCAAAACATGCTGTCAAAATACTTTGCATTTGGTACATGTCGTCTTTGACCGAACGAATGAGACGGAGTTGTTTGTTAAACTGAACCCACTCGTATTCTTCATTTATAGCTTCATGGACTATAACTGTTGTTGTGTTCTCTGATGTTGACATATCTGTTTCTTATATACAGGATAAAAAAATAAATAAAAAAAACTAGCGTTATTTTTTCTATCTTGTATAACAGTTATATAATGAAAAAGTGTCATTTTTTTCAGCAAAAATATATTTTAGGGTAGAAGGGTATATCTACCCCGTTTTCTACCCTCATTTCTACCCTCTTGAATTTTCATGATTTCATCGTACATGTTTTGTCAAACATGAACGTATATGTTTTGTCAAGACTTCTTCGTAAATGTTTTGTCAAGACTTCTTCGTAATGAGCGTAAATCAGACAAAAATATATTTTAGGGTAGAAGGGTATATCTACCCCGTTTTCTACCCTCTTTTCTACCCCAGTTATTTTATAAGCGTTTTACATGGTAAACATTGTGAATTCGTGAAATTCTAAACAATTTCGTAGCTTCTATTTCTTCTGTCAGTACATCGAATGTTTTAACAATGCCGAAAGTTTCTTTATACTTCTTCTTGACGTCAGATAGAAGGAAATCTTCTGCTGTTGGATAGTTTTTGTTCAGAAATGTCAACATGTCCATTTTATCTTCTGCTGGTTTCTCTACTTCTTTCTTTAAGTCAGCATAGTCGTTTCTCATACGTTCTATCTCTTTGACGGAGTAGTTATATTTCCTCATTGCTGCTTTACATTTAGAACATTGTGGGTTCATTTTTGCGTTATATTCTGAAACCTTACCTGCTAGTATGACTAAGGCGTCAATTGCTCTCTTTAACTCAAAAGTTGCGGGTTTTATCTGTTCATTCCATATCTTACCTCTTCTATCTTTATCTCTTATCTGCCATACACATTTTGCAACTAACGAAACAAAGTTATCGTAGGTCTTAAATTCTTCAGATTTGTATATGTCAGAGATGTTCTTATATACCATATCGCAATCTTTGTCCATGACTTTGTGGTTGCAATGAAATCCAAGAAACTCATAGTTAACCTTTCGTATGAACTTCTTTATTTCTACTGAGTCAGTTGCTTTGACTTCTATTTCATCGAATTCTGGAATAGTAAGCTTTTGTTGTTGTATTTCAGGAAGTTTAGGCAAATGGTCTATAATATCTTGCATTTCATAAAGATACTGTTCATTTGTTTCATCTTTTGCAGTGCAATCTAAATCTCCTTGGAGAAGTTCTTGCTTTATCTTCTGGATTTCTGTTTCGAAAGTATATGAAGAAGGAATGAAGCTTTTCATCTCTACTAACATTGAAGTTGGGTTCATGACTAACGAGTTTGGTGCTGTTGTTGCTAACATGTTCTTACAATAAAAATAAAAAAATATTTTTTGGTGGGACTACCTTTATTTTTTATTTCGGGAAAACTCATGAGGTTAGAAAACATGTACGAAGAAGTCTTGACAAAACATTTACGATGAAATCATGACAAAACATTTACGATGAAATTCATGACAAAACATTTACGAAGAAGTCATGAAAATTCATGAAAATTCAAGAGGGTAGAAAAGAGGGTAGAAAAGAGGTTAGATATACCCATCTACCCTAAAATATATTTTTGGGTCATTTACGCTCATTACGAAGAAGTTTCGACAAAACATTTACGATGAAATTCATGAAAATTCAAGAGGGTAGAAAAGAGGTTAGAAAAGAGGTTAGATATACCCTTCTACCCTAAAATATATTTTTGTCGAAAAAAAATGGTTCATTTACTCACAATATTTTTGTACAAAACGACCCCAAACTTTTAACTTCTTTTCTGCAGCTTCTAATGTTATCTTAGCGAGTTCATATTCTCTAAATTCTCTCTTTAAATCTTCTTGTTCCCATTGGTCTAGTTCGTATGGAGAATCTCTATAACCAGAACATATCTCACGTTCATGTTCTATTTGTTTTTCATGCATTTTTCTAACTTCTTCTTCAAACAAAGGTTTTGCATTCTCTACTGTATCTTCAAGTTCTTCTTCATCTAATTTCTCATGAACTTTCTTGTCTATGGAGTCCATAATTTTTCCAACTGCTATACAATATTTTGGAGAAGCCCACATTGCTATATAGTTTACAAGTCTTGGGTCTACATACATTCCTCTAACCTGTTTGATTTCATCAGGAATTCCTGCATGAATTTTGTATAAAAAGCAACCCGCCGTTTTCCGCGGGTTGGTATATTCTTCACAAAATGCCTTAAAATACTCTTCCCAGGACTTATTTTCCAACAACCTTCTAAAGTCTTTCCTAAACTGCTGACACATCTTTGTTGCATTTATATAACCATCCTTGTCTCTACGTAAGACTTCAATACCGTTGTAAGTGCCTTTTGTGAATGTTTCGCCATTAGATTTGTTCGTGAACGTTTTTGCTTCGACTGACATTTCTGTTCTTACAATAAAAATAAAAAAATATTTTTTGGTGGGACGTCGGACATTCGTTTGTGGCTTAACCGTCGGACCACAACGATAAAAATCTCTGCTACTAGCAGTACTGCTACTGACAGTAGCAGTACTTTTACTGACAGTAGCAGTACTTTTTCTGACAGTAGCAGTACTTTTACTGACAGTAGCAGTACTTTTTCTGACAGTAGCAGTACTTTTACTGACAGTAGCAGTACTTTTTTCTGAACAGTAGCAGTACTTTTACTGACAGTAGCAGTACTTTTTCTGACAGTAGCAGTACTTTATCGTCGAAAACCCTTCAAATTTTCCTTTTACTGCAACTAGCAGTACTTTTACTGACAGTAGCAGTACTTTTACTGACAGTAGCAGTACTTTTACTGACAGTAGCAGTACTTTTACTGACAGTAGCAGTACTTTTTCTGACAGTAGCAGTACTTTTACTGACAGTAGCAATGGTCGAGGTCGAACCTACCGACGAGGCAATTTACCTAATTGAAATTAACGAGCTTGTTAAAGACTTCCTCAGGCAGAATGTAAAAGGCAAGCTTGTTAACTGTTGGATAACGGGAAGGGCTGCCTTGAATCTCGAGACTTCGACTGGAATTCCAATTCAAATACCAGACGGGACAGCCTACGACGACATAAAGCAAGCAAAGAAGGAAGCTCTTCTCAAGTTCTTTGCCAAGCGTCCTTGGATACAACTTCCAAACAGAGAGAACCCTTTCCCAAGAATGAACCAAATTCTCAAGGGTCTCCTTCACTTCTCGGGTCAGCCGTTCTACATAACCTGTGAAGGCGACATCCAACCAGTTCAGTAAACATCTCATTTTCACTTCACTTTTTTATGTTTTTTGTGAAAGTGTCAAAAATAAATTTTTTACTTCATGCAATGTTTTATTTCTGTGCCGTCTTCAAGTATGCCCCAGTACTTACGCTTGGAGAGGACATGAACTTCGGAAAATACCTTATCTAGCTTAAAACAGCCCATCTTCTCACCGACTAAACCCATTTCAATGAGTTTGTTGTACCCTTCTTCGTTCGTCATGAGTGCATCGATGTTCTCGTAGTAAACCTTCACTTTGGATTTAACCTCTGAGAAGAATTTGTTGTAGTTGTCAAGGACTGCCTTTGCGAACTGAGGGTAAGACCAATGTTCGACAATAGGTTTTAATGTGGTTACTAAGCCACTTTGACCTTGAGTGAATTCGTACTTCAAAACAAAAGGAGAAAACCTTTCAACAAAGTTGTCGACCTTCTCATAGTGTTTACTCTTCATCTCTTGAGGTTTTTTAATGGAATACCCCCATGTCGAATTCATAAGCAATTTTAATGTCATTGCAAGTTTGGGGTTTGAAGCTTTCCTAATATCATACAGTTGTTGTATGACTTTTCCAACTGTATAGTTCCTTCCTGGGAACTCACCATCTTCGTTTGGAATTCCAGTCGGGATATATTGGACGAACCTCATGTATGCGGCGTTAAGGTCGACATAGTATATTTTTTCATCTGAGTCGAACTTATCGCATCCAATCGGACCAGTTTTTGGAAATTCAAGCGAGTCTCTTATCTTCTGAGAAACTTCTCCTGTTATCTCATAAACATCGTCGAAGCAACCTGTTTCATATAAAACCTTCTGACCTAACTCAGATGCTCTCCAATACAATTTGACGTCAATTGGATGTCTCAATGGGAGTTTGTTTATAGCATCTTGAAGTTCTTGCAACCTCATTGGAAGTTCTTCTGGTTCAGGTTGGTATCCGAACAATCCAACTCCTTTTGGAACTGTGTACTTCTTTTGTACTAGAACTTTGTCTGGAACAACTTTTGGTCTTGCTAACAGTGAAAAGTTTGTTTCGTCTTTTGGTACAAAACTTTCTGTCAGCTTGTCATCTGGAATTGGTTCCAACAAACCTTTCTCGAAAAGAATGTTAACAGCTCTGACAATGTTGCACTTGCCTTTTCCGAACAATGGGTTTGTAAGACTTTCGTTCAACATGAAGTGGTTGTGGACAATTGCAATCTTCAACCATGGTAAGTCTTTGTCAACAACATAGTCGTCATGTGAAGAACCTTTCTCAGTCGGAATGTTGACTCGGATATTCACATTTGCCAACGGTGCAATTTTAGCCAATTGACCTCTGAGCATGTACCTTGTCTTCACACATGACTCAAGATACTTCATTTTCTCTTCTGAAACAAGACCAGAGTTCCTGAGACATGTAAGAATACAAGGTTCATTGACAATTGTTTCAATTGAATTGTAAATTCCATACCTGGTTAAGTTAATGTCAGACTTGTTTATGAACGGGAAATACCCAGCATGTTGTCTGACTGCTTGAGGGTTGGGTTGGTACCATTCGAACTTCACGCTTGCAATTCCTTCAATTGCATTCAAAATGTCTGAGTCGGAGTCAACCATTTGTTCTCTCTTTGTAGTCTTGAAAGCGTCAAGAAGTTGTGCAGCTGTTGTGACATTGCCATGTGCATAGTAGATATGACCATCTAAATCTGTTACGGTTAATCTGAGATTGTATCCTTTCTTATTTCCGTCTTGAATTGCAGCAAGTACACCCATGAAGCCTTCTTTGTTCTTTCCTTCGTCAAAATTTACTGTAAAGGTTCGACCAGATGTAATTTTACTTC